CCTGGGATTGAACTCAGGTCCTTGTGCTTGCAAGGCAGGCCACTAAATCCCTGGCCTTTTTTTTAATTATTCACTTTTTTAAAAAATCTTATTACAGTAAAAGATACATGGCCAAGAATCACAGGACAGGTGTGTTCGAAGAAGGGGAGTTTTTGTAGGGAATCAATGGCAATGTCTTTTATTATAATAAGTGTTTTATTTTAAACATTCACCATATTTTTAAGTCGACCCTTATTGATCAAATGTTTATGGAAATTTCTGTCTAAAACATGACAGTGTATCTTCAAGTCCTTTATTCACTGGATCTGGCACCATTCATGTGACTTCTGGCTCTTCTCCAAAGTCGAAATGACCATGAAAGGTACACATTTTGAATCAAATTAGGGCCTCAAGACAGCCATGACTCCCCATCTAAAGACAGGAAAGACGACTTCCAGAACTGCTTCAAAAAGGGGCAAGAATGATGGGGTCAAATGTGTTAAAGAGGGGGAGAGTATTTTTTATGGAGATTAGCAGCAGTGTGACATTAAAAGTCACTGTATTTTAAAATCATATCTCTTAATCAACTCTCCTTTCATAAGCTTTCTTGGGACTGTGCCTGCCAATTTTGGTTCATATTTCATGGGCCAGAACAATGTCACATGGCCACTCATAGCTGCAAGAGAAGCTGGAAAGCTACACATTTTAAGCTGAACATGGTATCATCCTGAACAAGAACTGTTGATAAAAAGTCAGAAGAAGGGCTATTGGTCAAGAATCCAGCAAACCCAGCCACATCTCCCTGGAACTTCCTGGACTCCAGTTTCTGTTTGGAGGGACTTTCTGGTCTCCAGCGGGCCAATTCTCCATCTTTCCACATCTCTGGGGAAGATTTCCCACCTGTGGGAGACCAACACCCCAGCATGCCTTCCTGTTCGTTCCTTCAGCACAGCCTCCACCAGCTCTGGATTCCCCACAGGCAGAGAGCCAGTGCAGCTCCTGACACATCTTCCCAAAACCTGACACAGCCATGGAAGAGTGGCAGGGAGACAGGGAGCAAGGAAACTTGGTTCTCATGGGAAGAGCAGTGGCAGCACTTTCCTCCCTCCACCAGTGAGCTGATTTTCTCCCAGCACTTTGTAAATGGCAAGGAATAAAAATGAGGGAGACATTGGGATGATGATGGTCAGAGTCTTTTGAAGGGACCTGAAGGCTGAGTCCTGGCTCCACCAGCTCTGTTAAGTCCCATCACTGTTGGGAAACAACAAGAGGAAGGCCCCACCTCCTCCCACGTGGTCCCAGGCTGCAGGTCCAAAGGCTGCGGGGACCACAGGGGCCAGGACCTGGCCAGCAGCCCAGAACTCCCCGCCCCTAGCTCTTTCCCAGGCTGCTCCACCCTTAGCACCCCCAAAGAGAGGAACTGTCCAGGACTACATTTACTCTAGCAAATTAGTCTGTCTCCAGGTGGCTTGGGACCAAAGCCATGTCATTTGCTGCAGTGTCTGCATAGGGGAGCTGGGCCAGCAGGATGCCCGGGGACACTGCAGGGTCCCTGGGAGAGGCTGCAGAGCTTCTCCCCAGCAGTGTGGTGTCACTGCAGATATCCGCTGCCTCCGGGTCCCTCCACCTCTTTCACCAGCTCCAAGTCATTTCCCTGTGTGTGATGGCAGAGCTGTGAGCATCCTGGGCCTCAGTCACCAGTGCCTGGGGCTGATCAACTTTCGGCCAGGAGAAAGGCACTGTTTAAGAAGGCAGGGACCACTTATACCTTCCATGTCCATATGTGTCTTTGGGAATACAGCTCAAGGGGTCTTAGCTTTGAAATCAAAGGACTGTATGACATCAGCAAACTCTGGGCCTCAGTTTCCCTGATAGCCCAGTGTGGTAGGCTATCAGATAGTTCCTAAGGTTTGCAGTTTTAGTATTTAACAGTCAGTAACTGATGCAGAATTGAGCCCATACCATTTTGACAAGCATCTTCTGTATTCCAGACTCTATGCCAGGTGATAGCCATATATTTCCCCATTCTACTTTCACTCTATGGAAGTGCTGCTATTATGCCCATTTTACAGATGTTGAAAGTGAGGTTGAGATAATGAATTAGGATTAAATTTGGTGGCCAGTGACAGAACCCTAATTTATAAGTACCAGTGACTTTAGCAAGGTAGTTTACAAGATCCCCAGAAGCTATGTGTTGATTTCTTTAATATCCATAGTGGTTCTAAAATGCCACAGCATCAGGGACCTAGGTCTTCCTACTTGTTGCTTTATCCTCCATTCCCAAGATTAATTCATTGTCCCTGAGGTTCTGTCTTTGAAGACTTTCCAAAAGTTGCCTGTGCCTCTTCTACTTATATCTCATTGGTCAGAACTAATCATGTGGCCATGTTAGGCAAAGGAGGATGGGAAATGTAGTGTTCCTTTTGGATGACCCTAGGCCCCGCCAAAAATAGGCACTTTATTGCAATAAACGCAGTTAGTTATGGGAGATGGAGAGAATAGGCTTCCAGAAGAGGCAGGCTACCGGAGTTTAGCAATGTCTCCACCACTCACCAAGGTGACCTTGGGTAGTTCTCCTTCACTGAGCCTCTGCCTTGTCCTAGGCACCATTCTTAGAGTTAGGGGATGAGGTGGAGGCAATATTGCCTCCTGTCCCTATCTCTTGGAGGGCACAGCCAGAGTCCTGGAAGCTAATCCAAGTGGCACAGGCTGCAAAGACCACAGTTCTCACTTCCCTGGGTGGGGAAGACAAATGCTCAGATCACTCATGCAGCCCCTGCTCAGGGACCTGAGCAGAGATTGGAACCCAGGGCTTCTGGCTCCAAATCCAGGCTGTCTTCCTCTCCTCCATGCTGCTGGCACCAAGAGGCACCTGGGCTTCTGAGGTCTGAGATGGAGATGTCCATAGCATGTGGAGTTCAGGGGTCAGCCTAGCTGGGGTTGAAGCCCTGCCCTTCCACTGTCTGGCAGTGTGGATAAATCCTAGAACAACTTTGTTCTTCAATTTCCTCTTGGTAAATAAGATTGATTATGAAGCTACAGTGACTTAAAATAAGTCTAGCTTTCAGGACAGTCCTGGGCACCCAGGGTCACTCTGCCCAAGGCAGTAATTACTGTGTTTTTTGTTTTGTTTTGTTTTGTTTCTTGTGTTTTTTTTTTTTTTTTGGTACCAGGGATTGAACTCGGGTCCTTGCGCTTGCAAGGGAGGCCACGGAACCGCTGAGCTAAATCCCCAGCCAGTGATTACTGTTTTTGCCATGCTTTTTAGCACTGCATTTGTCTGCAGCCTGCCCAGGGTAGTCTGTGCCCTGGGCCCCGGGCCTCTCAAGACCACTTCCTACACAGACCGGCTCCCCTTAGCACAGGCACTACCTCCTCCTTGCAGATTTTAACGAGAATGGCTTCATCGACGAAGAGGACCTGCAGAGGATCGTGCTGCGGCTGCTGAACGGCGAGGACATGTCTGAGGACCTGCTGACAGACCTCACGCAGCATGTGCGTACCCCGGGGTTGCAGGAAAGGGTCCGGGGGCCCAAGCTGTCACCCAGAGCCACCCAGATGTCAGCCTACCTTCTGGGAGGAGGCCCGGGGCCAAGCCCAAAGCAGAAGACACGCTGGCTTTCGGACCACAGGATCCCTGGAGACTGCCATGGGGTGGGCAGCACCAGGTGCCCTGAGAAGTAGACGCTCAGCTGTCGGCAGCCAGCCCTCAACTTTCAGTCCTTACTCCAGGGTCCTCCCTCGGGCTCTACAGACAGCCCATGGTGTTCAGAGCAGGCCAGAGGTCCAACAGCAGCTTGGCCACATCACAGGGTCCTCCCTATATTAACCCAGATGTCCTGCAGTGATGAGGAACGAGGAGAGGCCCCCCAACCCAGGAGCAATCAGGGAGCCATGCTCTTAGACCTTGAAACCTTCCAGCGCCTGACTGGTGGGTGGGGACTGGGTGCCCGGGGCCCCCGACCTCAGCACACACCCCCTCATCTCTGTGGGAGGGGATGAGAACCTGCCTCGGGATCTGGCTGAGAACCCGGCCTGGCAGCCCCTGGGCGGGAGGCATCCACCTCCCTTCCCCTTGCTCAGCAGCTCACCACCAACACCAGGCTCCTCTGGGCCCCCTTTCCCTGGCCAGGTCCTGAGCGAGTCGGATCTGGACAGTGACAACATGCTGTCCTTCTCAGAGTTTGAACATGCAATGGCCAAGTCTCCCGATTTCATGAAGTAAGGAGTCCTGGGGCGGGGGAGCTGCCTACTTGGGCAGTGGAACCAACAGGGCCCCCCCCCAGCCTCTCCTTGGCAGGAGAGAGTCTCAGTCTTCCCAACGAAGTCATGGGTGTCTAGGGCACTCGGGAGGTTCTGTCAGAATCAGTAAAAACGGGAGCTCCTGGGGAATGAAGACAGCCGGGGGCTGCCGGCCAGGCTCCACAGACCACGTGAGCGGTGCGGACTCAGGGGCAGCCCTCTGACAGCCAGGGCACCCACGTGCTCCCCTGCAGGACGACTGGACTCCAAGCCTGACCTGAGGCACTACTTTCCCCACTGTTACAGGAGCCATGGGATCTGGGGGCTTTGCCGGGAGCCTGAGGGTGCCCATGGTGGTGCTCACGCAAGAAAAGAAACTTGTTTTTAAGAAAAGAAACTTGACAAGAGAAGCAACCGATTCTCCTTCGAGAGGAGGACTTAATGGTCTCAGTTGTCTTCTTTGGTCCAAACGCCTCTAAGGTGCTGGGCCGTTTCCACATCTCCTGGCCTCAGGGACAGGAAGTGCAGCCCAGAGTCTAGACCTGAGAGGCAGCCCAGGTCTAGACCTGAGAGCTTTGAGCTGAGCTAGCATCTGTCAACGGGGGGTCTCCTGCACCAACACCTGTTCCATCCCTAGAGGTCACGGCAAGAACGCCCACCCAAGATGGCTTAAGAAACCAACCCCACAGGAACAGAGAGCTGTCTCTCCTCTCTGCCGACTGCTTCTCCTCCACACTTAGCCTCACGCTGCGGGCCAGCCGTCTCCGCTTTGTCAGACACGAGGCCATCACAGCCCTCCTCCAGCGGCCAAGTTTATATCTCCTTGACTTGAGCCTCAGCCCTTCCTAACTGGTATCTCAGTTCAGACCTGAATTCCCAGAGAGACACAGTCCAGGTGCTCGAGGTCCTGGTCCAACCACCCTGATGAAGGCGAAGGCTCCCACTCCACCGTGGCTGCCAGAGGCCTGTGGCTGGGTTGGGGTCCCCTCAACCAAAGGGATTCCTTCCTCTTCCACAATAGCCCGGCACGGAGTGGAGGTTGGAATCCCGTCTGCCTTGAATTTCCCTGACTCGTTCTCATTTCTTTGCATTGGTGGATGCCACACAGCTGACTGCATTCTGGCTCTACTAACAGAAGTTTTGGGGTTGGTTTGAGCCTCTGCCCAGAGAAAGGAGAAAGGGACATGGAGGCAGTTACGGTGGGGACCTCGAGGAGCACTGAGCCCCGTGCTCGAGGGGCCGTCGGGAACGCAGGCTGCGGGCGGCTCACGGGAGTCTTCCCTTTCAGCTCCTTTCGGATCCACTTCTGGGGATGCTGAAGTGACTTGCACTGACCCAGCAGCCTCGAGGGGCACCGCTGGGAGCCCCTGTCCAGATCCTGGGGAGATGACCCCAAGGCTGACCGTGTCCACAGCCTGCCCTCCCTCCAGAGTAAAAACAAAGCTTTTTCCTTGGCTTGTCGGCCCACTGCTTTTGGACCACAGGATCGGACACGGGGACTTTGTACGGAGAACCGCTCATTGCACGGCGTAAGCTTGCCGATGATGCCAAGCAAGCAGGGAGGGCCTGTCTTTCTGACCTGCTCTCAGAGCGGGGGAGGCCAAGCAGGAGGCATGGCAGCAGAGGGTCCATTCCTCCCACACTTCCCTGGAGCCCTGCCCCACGTCTCCCAGTGCGCAGGGCACCAAGATGCGCTCAGCGCAGTCTTTCCAGCGAGCGCCGGCTTCCCGTCCTCATCCCATGGAGAAGACATCTCGGCCCCGCCTGGCACTCCCGGGCCCTCAGGGTGAGACCAGGCATGGGCCAGGAGTCAGGGTTCACTTGCTTTGCTGTTCTGCCAAGCCCTGGAATGGATCTGGCCACTCCAGGGCAGTTCGGGCCCAGCTGGTTGGGGGCTGTGGGACCCAAGAGGGTCCTGAGAGAGGCCAGGTGCCCATCTGGTGAGCACAGGTTTTCTTATTTATATTGGCCTGGGGGTAAGTTGGGAATTGCAGGCAACAGAAGAAGAGCTTCGCCCTCCTGTTCTAAAGTCTTGAACTTTACCACGGCCCCTCACCTGTCCAGGAGCACTAAGGGCCCCGTTGCTGGACAGAGTCCCCTCAGAGGGTCCAATCCTGAGGTCCCCATGCCAGAGTGTGTCCCCTGAGAGGGGGCCTCGAGGAGATGAGGAGCAGAAGTCTGGCAGGAACAGAGCAGACGCACGGCCTGGGCCCCCACGCCAGCACCCACGCCCCGCCCGGAGGAGCTGAAGCACAGAGCTCCCTTGGCGTGGCCTGGGTTGTTCTCCCATCTTCTTTTAGAAACAGCCTTAGGGGCAGATTCCCAATCGGCCTGTCCCTGCCAGTCTGGGAAGAGTGCAGGAAGTAGCCGCCGCCTGTCAAATGGCTTCTTGTCCGGGATGCTGCTCCTCCACCCTTTCTTCGGGGTCCCAAAGGCTGGCCCTATCTCCATGTGGGCCACAAGCAGGTTGTAGAGTGCAAAAGCCAGAGCCTGGGAGCCAGATCTCTTCTTCGCTGTGTGAAGTTGGGCGCCTCGCTCAGTGTCTCTGAACCACCATCCCTTCATCAGTGAAGTGAGGCTAAGGCGCCCCAGGTTATCCTGTGAGCCAAACTGGGCTGAGCCAGGGCTCCTAGAAGCCCCCGTCTCGTGCCCCGTGTGATGCTCTGGGACACTTTTCCCTCATGTTCACACATGGGACAACTGGCTTCTTTGACTGCATCAGGGGGCGCTGTACCCGTGAGCTGTCACTGACACTTAGAGATGCCACCCTCCCCGTCCTACTTGTCCACGTTGAGTCTTCAGGCTAAGTTTCCCACAGGCGCTTAAGACAGGATGCTGAGTGACCTCAGGGGCTCTTTCCGGCCCTTGTGAAATGTCCCTAGGACAAAAAGGACAGATACGTGGGATGTGGTGGCTAAAGATTTTATTCCACGCAAACCATCTGGCTAGGGCCAAGGCTCCCAGGCAGCAGCCACCTGGCCTCACGCTCTGAACTCGAAGTAGCTGTCCCTCTTCTGTCGCTCTTGTGGGGACACCCTCTTCCCAGATGGGAACGTCTGATAGGTCCTCTGGTTCTCAGGGGAGACTCTCAAAAGATGCCACTTCTCCTTGGGGCTCAGAGGAGGCCTGGAGGTGAAGACAGAGCCCGTGTCAGATGGTAGACCCGGGTCTGAGGGTGAACAGTGCCCACCACAGCCCCACACAGCCACTTGCGGGCCCGCTGCCCTGCTGGGTGGTCCTCACTTTAGCATATAAATTTCCCTGGCTTGGGAGAAGAGGGGACATGTGCTTGCATGGTAGTCAGGAGCGGGGACAAAGGCATCAGACCGACCCAGCATAGCTTCTGGCCCATGCTCCTGCTGGATATATACATATATATTTTCTGCCCTTGGTATCACTCCCCTGAGCTTTGTTTTGAGGAGAACACTGGGTACTAAGGGTATTGAGTACACTGGGTAAGTAATGGACTAAAGTTCTTAACATAATGCCAGACAAGGAGTAAATACTCAACAGATGTTACCAGACGTGACAGTGGTGGTGGTGCTGGTGATAGTGGAGGTTGGGGCACAGTAATGATGGTGCTGATGGTGACCAAACTCCAGAGGGGGGAGGATCTGCCCCAGACCACCTCTTATCCTCAACCCTACCACCTGGTTGAGCCTGTGACAGGCATGAGATTGTCAGCAGGGCAGGGTACAATCAGAGAAGGGCGAGAGCTGGGGGCACCTGGCAAGAAGGTGTCAAGAGAAGCCCCATCCCCCGAGGAGGCCCAGTCCCTGAGCAGAGGAGACGGTCAGCCTGGACCCCAGAGCTGGACACAGGAGACTCGGGTTCCCTTCCAAGCCCAGCTGCCAACCAGCTGGCCCACCCAAGCCAGGCCTCTAAGGCTGCCAGTGAGAGACCCTCTGGATTCAGATGTCCCCTTTGCCCTATACAGGGCCCCCCTGGGGGCAGTGAGAGCCAAATCCTTAGAAGCCATTCAGCTGTATGGGGAACATCTTCTGCTTTTTCTAGAGCTGGGTCAAGGGAGGGCCAGAAATCCAGGATCTGCTGCTGACCTCACGGGGCCCCCTCTGGACAGAGAGGGAGCTGCCAAGGAGGAAGAGGACTGCCCTGGGAGACCTCCTGGCTTCCAGCCCAGGCACCCACCACCACCCCACTCCTGCCACAGGGCACCTGAAGTCAGCTTGAGATCCCATGCCTGTGTGGCAGGCAGGAGAGGTGGGGCTCCAGATCACCTCACAGGGCAAAGCTGGCCTTCCCTGGGAGAAAGGCACTCTCACCAATAACAGCAGCTATGAGGGCAGGCTTGAGGAGTGGCCATTTTGTGGGGGGGAGGGGTAGCCTTTCAAGACATCTTCAAGTCCCTAGGAGAACATTTGCCAAGCTTGGCAGGGGTGAAGGGTAGATCCTCTGCTCGTTGCAGTGTCCCGTGTGTCCACCAGAGGGCAGAAGCTGCATGACAATTGGACCAGAGCAGCCCCCTGCTGCCCTCGTGGGAGGAGGGAGGTGTGACAGGCTCAAATTACAGGTGTGTTCCCAAACTCAGGGTGGGATTCCGGGCATTCAGGTTCCTGATGGCCCTCCTGAGGCTGCTGGAGCTGTGCCCTGCAGACACTGGTGGGCAAATTCATGACCTGGCTTCTGTCTGGGCCCCCTGCAGGCCCCTGGAGGGAGAAGGTGGCCTGTGGACGTGTTTGTTGGTGCCGGGTGGGAAGGGAGGGCAGGGAGGGTAGGTACTCACAGGTCGGTGGGGATGGGGTACCCTTCCCTCTCCCTCACAGGCAGCACGAAGTAGGGTTCCTGAGGCACTGTGCCGGTCTTGTCTCTGTAGTACTTCCGGTGCTGCTGCGCCCTCTGTAGCTCCATTAGGGAAGAGAGGACAGTGGCCGGTGAGCAGCAGGACCTTCAGGAGCCTGTACTCTGCCTGCTGTGTTGGGCAGGGGTGAGGCAGTCTCGTTGTTAGGGTTTGATCTAGAATGTCCCCCAAAGGCTCAAGTGTTTGGAGGGTGACTGGACCCTGGGGTGCTGCGCTCATCAGTGGCCTCGTCCATTACTGAGCTCGTGATCGGGATCGTGAGGAGGAAGAGGAGCGAGCTCTGCCCCGGGCCCTCCCTTCTCTGTCTGCGTCCTGCCACCGCAGTGGGGCTGTCCTCTCCCAGGCCCTTTCCGCCTTGGAGCCAGCCCACCAGGGACTAAAACTGTGAGCTGCGATAAGCCTCTCCTCCTTTAAATTGTGAGCATTAGGTATTTTGTTCTAGTAACAGGGAAGTAACTAAGACACTGCCCTAGTGTCCCTGGAGGATTCTCTGGGGTTTCTGAATCCCCAGCCCAACTGCTGAGCAGCCGGTGTCCTCTCTGAGCCTCAGTCCCTCTTCTAATGGGGATCTCAGACCCCCCATCTGCACACCGGCTTTGATACAGACAGTAAAGGAGAGGAGGAAGCAGCAGGAGAGGTGTGAAAGCCCAGGAGGTGTGAAAGTCTGGGCTTGGCCTGCTCTGGTCCTCCCTCCCTCCCCCGGCAGGACTCATCCAGTGTGAGAGCTGAGGCGGGAACAGCTGTCAGCCTCTGAGGGTGTTGGCCTCGTCCCACCCCTAGGAGGCTGCCTTCATACGCGAGGCCCCAGCCCTGACACCAGGTACCCGTGTCCTTGCGGTCAGGCTGGCGAGGACATTCATAAGATGGGGTACACAGAGAACAGGGTCCCGGAAACACGGCAGAGAGTCGGCAGTGATCTGTACAGGGAAGAAGGGCCAGCTCGGGTCCCCGGGGCCTTCTGGGGTACTTCATAAGCCAGAGGAGTGGTACAAGGGCAATAGGGCTGTGGGCAGGTCTCCTTCATCCTGGTGTCACCTGGGTGAAACTGGCTCAGGGTACAACCTCAGGGGGCCGGGGACTGGGAGCGCCGTGGGCACCAGAGTTCAGGTGGGTAGACCAGTAAGCCGGATACAGGCAAGGCATCAGTGTCCCTGTGTTTTATGTGATTCATCCAGTGGCTGAATCTTTGGCCTTTTACTCAGAAACATCCCAATCCACTAGCAGCGGTCATGCTCGGGGACAGGAGTCCCAAAGCCCAGGGCAGGGGAGGTCGGACAGGCAGAGCCCCAGGCCCGCCCCGACCCTGAGCCAAATCACCAGGTTCCCTGCTGCCTCTGGAAAGCAAACGAAGCCACTCGGGAGGGTGGTGGGCACTCTCTGGCTCACCTGGTAGAAGTGCGCCAGCTCCACGGTGCGGTGGCCGTCCAGGTTGAAGCGCGTATAGCTGGGCAGGTGCAGCCAGTGGTCCCTGAGGTTCGAGAGGTCCATCAACACCAGGTTGGGGTTGGGGGAGAAGATGGTGGGGAAGGAGCCGCCGCCGCTGAGGGGTGTGTGGCTCTTCTCCATGGCCGTGTTGCGGTGGTCCTGGAAGTACTTGAGAGTGGTGGCGCCATAGGGTGAGCCGAAGGAGGAGGCCACGCCGGGGACATGGCCTTGATACCTGCAGGGGAGCAGGGCGGGTGGGAAGGCAGGGAATGAATGTGCCAGGCCCACTTCTGGGAGACGCCTTAAAAGCTGAGGGGCCCTGTGGTCCCCCGGCTTCGAGAGGCTCTGGAGGTGCACTGCCCCGCTGAGGTCTCTGGGGGAGGCTGATAGAGGGGCCCAGGCTCCTTCCTCTGCACCCAGCTCTCTGCTTGATGCCTCTCCCTCCCAGGCCTCCACCACTGGGGTTGGCCTGGCCCGCTGTGCCCGGATGCCCACCAGCCACCCCTCGGATGTTCCAGACAGGGTCTCCCACCCTCGCCTCCCCAGCAGTCTGGTCCCATCCCAGCAGCGTCCTCCCTCCACCCAGGTCAGAAATCTGGGCATCCGTGTCCTCTCCAATGGGCTGCCCAAGCCCGCGGGCCCACCGCATGCCCTGAGCTCAGCCGTGTCACCGCTCATCTGGACCGTGGTCATTATGTGCCCAACATTCTCCTACCCAAATTCACAGCCCCAACCCCGATCCACCGTCCACACTTCCGCTAAATCAAGTTCTTAGCGAGGCATCCGGAGCTGCCCGTGGTCAGACCCCTGCCCACCTCTCCAGCCTCACGGTGGCCAAACAGCCGCCCTGAGGAGCCATCGTGCTTCTGGGGGTGACTGCCGGCTCCCTCTCTCCTCCAGCCCCTCAGCGTTCTTCCTGTGTCTTCCGCCATCGCGGTGCCAATCCTGCTCACCCCACCGCTCCCGATCCTGCTCTGCCTCCCAAATCCCAAACAGCCCTGGAAGCCTTGTCTACCTGGCCCTTCTGCTAAGAATCCCACCACCCCCAGGTCCGGGAAGCATCTGCCGGCTTTGCACCTGAAATCCGCCCCACAACCATCCCTCTTTCTGTGCTGCTCCTGTCTCTGTGTCTCTCACCCCTCACCCGACAGCAGCTTTTCAGGGGCAGCGCTTGCTGTTTCGTTCCTGTCCGTATGACCGGGGTGCAGTGCCAGGCCTGGCGCACAGTGTGTGGGTAGGAAATGGTTTACTAAACAGACAAAAGGATGAGAGGGTGACCGATGTACCTGTGGAGCTGATGACGTTTACAGTGGGACCCGAGCAGTGAACACTCAGGGGCCCGTGACCATGCTGCAGGGACCTCCGGGCCCTGTCCTAAGACCACTCCTCCAGGGGACTTGATGCCCCTTTTCTCTCTCGTCAGAGAGTCCTAACCACACACCAGACTGGTCCCAGGCACCCTTCACCCCTGCACTCCAGGCACGAGTCCTGACCCACAGCCTGATGACGCCTCAGGCCTCCATCTCCCCACTAGAAGATGCCTGACGACCTTCAAAACAATGCAAGAAAGTAAAAGCAAAAAGACTACTGACACCTCCCATTCGCTTTCTGCTGGAGGCAAAATATCTAGAGTGGTCCTGGTCCCACACTCCCTATGCACAGTGCCTTCCTGGGATCTGGAGGCCTGGAGGCTGCCGGGGCTGGAGCAACAAGAGTGTCAAGGAATGCGGCTGCTGAGCTGGCCATGAGACACGCTGTCCTTAGCCCAGAGCTCTTCCCGCCGGGCACCCTGAGTCCCCTGCCTGTGGCCATGTCTCCTCCTTACCTGGAAACTGGGGACGGGGTGAGGATTCCTAGTTGCCCCTCCAGTGAGCCACTTCCAGGGACAGAGAGCTCCCGTCTGCACCACTTACCTCCCCTTGCCCCAGGGTCTGCGGCCCAGCCCTCCCGCCACACGGGCAGCCTCAGGACCCCATGTTGGCTCTCCATCTCTCTGCCCTTCACTTCTGCCGCCTCTCCCTGGGGATCGAGCCTGGGAGTGCTCTACCACTGAGCTACAACCCCACCCCTTCTGTTTTTATGTTGAGGCGGAGGCTCACTAAGATGTCCAGGCTGGCCTCAAACTCATGATTGTCCTGGCCCAGCCTCCAGAGTAGCTGGGATTGCAGGTGTGAGCCGCCACACCAGCGCTGTCTCTGCTGTCCTCCATGTCTCCTTCCCTCTTGGCTTCCTCCTCTCTGCTTGGCACACACCCGACCTTTCCTAGGTGGCAGAATTCTGTAGGAGATCTGGCTGTTATCTCACACGATATCTCCCCTCTTTCTTCTGTTTCCTAATCTCTCTGAGGACCGCCTTGGCCCCTCGGCCTTCATTTCTTCAACTCCTGTTCTTTCCCGACCGCCCTCAGTCTGGTTTCTGACCCAGCGCTTAAACATGAGCTTCTACTTTTTAACTAAGGTCATCAAGGTCCCCCGTGTCCTTGGCTTACGCTGCCTCTCTGTGCAACATTTGCACTGATGCAGAAACTTTATAAAAGGAGATGTGCCCGAAGAATAGAAGCGGGATCCTGACAGTGCTTCCTGCTGGAGATGAAAGTTCCTAAAAATACATACTTGGTAACCTCCGAGGAACAAGACAATGGGACTGATGGGAAAGCGCTGCTCCCTTCCAACCTGCGTCCCGGTGTGGAGGGTACTCTGTGCCCACTGGTTCCTGCCCACGGGATGTGGAGGAGCATCCGGGTGCTGAGAGAGCCGAGGGGAAACTGGGCCGCGGCAGCCCACCCTCCCTCAGCCTTTCTCTTGCACACAAGGAAACACACATGACCCAGAAGTTCTAGGCGGACAGACGCCAGCCCCGCCTGCCCCCTTCTGGGCTTCTGTGTACTTGGCAGACATTCTGACATCAATTCTTAGTCTCGTTGCTCAGTTGGTTCAGAAAGTAGGGAATAAAGGAAGACTCGCAGTGATCAGGTCTGCTGAACCCCGACACAAAGACAGCAACAGGATGAAAGATGAAGAAAGACACCCACTCATTCGGCAGGACAGAGCGCACGCCAAATGTCCAGCCAGGTAGGAAGCCGGAAATTTCTTCAGGCAAAAACATGCGGGAAACAGCACTCACAAGCCCTTTTTGAAAGTAATCTGCAACCATAAAACCCTGCCAACCAAGAGGTGACTGAAAAGAAAAAAACCAGGAGTGCAGCAGCTCTGTAAGAATGAGAGGTGGTGCTCTGCAGTTCTAGAACAGAACTAGGAATAGCAGCCAGGTGAGCGCTGCTTGCCGAACAGAATGTAAATGTTGTAAAACCTGTCAAGGTAAAAATAACCTGAGCCACTGAGGATGGGGGGTGGGTGGAGGAGAAGGGAGCACTTGTTGAGAATGGCATCCCGCAGTCCACCCACGGCATCGGAGCTGGGAGCTGAAACCCATCCCTAAAACACGAAGAAGGGCCCCGCCCGTGGGTGGGTTTTATTCCCCACCTTTTAGAGGAAATTTGCAAGAATTCGTATCTTGTGATGAGCTGACATTCATCTAAAGTCTACTGATTCTTCCATTTCATTTCAATTTCTTTCTCTTAAACTCTGGTAAGACTGAATTTCGTGGTCCTCATTTTGAAATAGCAAATTTAGTATGATTTTTTAAAATAAGATTGCTTTCTTCTGTCTTCATCTCCACCACTCCATCCACATAATTTGCACACAAGGACCAATCTGGAGTGGGCTCACCAAATGGTAATCTTGGTTTAATTCCAGGTGTTTGGACTTGGGGTGACCTGTTGCTTCCTTCTTCGTGTCCTTATCCTTTGATGGCATTGTTGGGGACCCACTGGGTGCCCACACAGTGCCAGGGCCCGGCACACCGAGCTCCTAGTTTTGCTGAGAAGCTCCAGAGTTGTGAGGGGCGCGTCCTGAGTACCATGCTGGGTGGCACAGGCGCCACCATCGCTAACTCATGCCAGAGCTGGTGGAGGCAGCCACATTATCAAACACAGGGGAAGGCCACCCCTTGGGTGGTACTGGCCTGGCTCCATGAGTCCCCTGGGGTGGGGCTTTGAGGAGGACCTCGGGAAAGGGGACATCGGGGGTCATCTTCTGGTGCTGGTGCTTCCCTTTTCGCCCCTCCTGGGAGGCCCATCCAGTACCTCCCATCATGGGTGTCCATGATGCCTGGGTTTCTCTCTGGCTCCAACCATGCTAACCACAGACCCACACGCCCTGCTGCCCAGTATGACTGAAACCTGCCTGTCCCTCCTCATGTCCTGGGTTATATCCCTGCCTCATTTTCCACCACCCCATCCACCCTTTACCTCAGCCAAAACTAGAGCCCTTGGCCGCCCTGGCATCTGCCTCCCCCACAGGCCTCCCACCCAGCATTTTCCCCACCCTCTGCCCTCCTCCAGCCACTGCTGTGCTCACCGACGACCTCAAACCTTCTAGACCAAGTTTCACCCTCTGCAGCCTGTGTGCACCCTGAGGCCAGAGCGACCTTCCTCACTGCCTCTCTGCACACCAGACCTCCGAGCTGTCACCACTGGCATTTGCCACTGTTCACTCCGAAAGAACTGGTCCTCTTTGTCACCTTCCCTGACTGCACCTTGCACCTAGCGTCTGTGCCTAGGATTGTCATCTGTCTGTCCGTGTTCAGGTCCACTTGAATCTAACTCCTCCATCAACTCGGGTTCTAATTGTCAGCCTGGGACTCATGACAAGCGCTCCAATAACTGCTCACTGAAGGGGGAGAAGCCCGGAACCACAGGGCCAGGACGTTCTGGAGCGCGGTTTTGGAAGGTGTGAACTCTGAGCATCACAGCACACGAAGCAGCCCTCCCTCGGGGGTGTTGGGCTCTCTAAAGAAAGGAGCTATAGAAACGTGACTCTGTCCTTCCAATTCTTCTCTGCCACCCCCAAGCTTTCTGCCATGCTCCTCCTCTGCTCCCTGCCTTCCCGCCCTCTCTGAATGCCAAGATATTTTCATTCCAAAAGAATAGAAGCCCCCTCCTCCGCAGCCCTCCCAGGCTTCCCTTCAAGACTTGCTTCTCTGGCAGGTGTGTGTGAGTGTGTGTGCGTGCATGTGTGTGCGTGTGTGTGTGTGTGTGTGTGCACATGCTCCTAACTGCATGTGCGCACATGTGCATGGTCACATTCCTAAGCACCCATTGGGTGCACACGGCAAGCGAGGAGCCTGTCTGTCTTGTGCACCTGCCCTGTCCGCCTCACGCATGGCCCACGGCGGCTCCAGGGCAGAGCCCTCGGCAGCCCTGCTTTTGTTGTTTTGTGAGCAGCCAAGGTGGAAAGGAGAAGAAGGGACTGGTGGAGGACGGCACACTCACACCTTCTGCTTCTGCCTGACCTGTGCATCTGCCCTGTGGCCCCGTGTCTGCCCCTGAGTTCCTCTGCCACCTGCACAGCTCACAGGCTCCGAACTGGACCAAGCCGGGCCTTCGGGTAATGAGCACAGGGATTCTAAAGCCCTCAGTGGATTACTGTGTATACAGGGAGCAGTCCCTTCCCTGCCTCTTAACAGCACTGGCTCCCCCATAGCTAACATTAAAATTAATTACCATGAGCATCAGGGATCCCACGAGCAGCCTTATTAACTAATTAACTTGTCACTATTCAGCATGTCCCCTTTCCACTTCTCCACAACACCTCCTGCTGAGGACGGTTCTGATCAGATCCTTCCCCAGGGCCGAACCTACCAGGGCTCCCACTGTCTGCAGAATTAAGAACAAACTGGGCCAGCTGCTCAGGGCCTCCTGACATGCCTCTGGGAGAGGTCTTTCCAGCCTTGTCACCCTCTTCCATATCGAAGCTTTGCCACTGTGGCCAAAGAGGACATCCACTACTTTGACAGCAGTGGCGGCGGAGCCTCCAGCCCTGCCTTTTGTCATACCCTTCCCTCCGCCCGGAAGCTCCCCATGCCCGGGGTGACCTTGTCCATCTCTCCGGGGACTGTGTTTCTATGGAGCCCATCCTGACCCACCGTATAGGCCCTGCCTGCCCCTTCATGCGTCCTGGCTCTGTACCTTCCTCACATCCCAGTTCATATTCTGCTGTGCTTGGGAGGAGCTAGCCCCTCTGAATTTTCTTCCTCTCTGGATTACAGATTCCCCAGGGGTGAGAGGGTGATGCTTTACTCTATCTGTGTCCCTGCCTTGCCCCGCAGCCAGGTAGGGCTCTGGGAATAGGGGCTGGGAAGGGCAGAGGGATCCTTGAAGAGAAGGTGAAAAAGCAGGCAGAGGACACCATTCACCAGCCTGCCAATAAGCTGCCCCCAGGGAAAGGAAGGATGGGGCTGCCTGCTGGGCAGTGTCCAGTAGAGGACAGGGAGGCTCTGAAACTTATTTCCTGCATCCTCTGCATTTGGGGCTTGAATCTGGGCTAGCTCTGCTCCCACAGTTGGGACTGAGGACTAGCAAAAAGCAGCCAATTGCTGTGTTGGAGCTGTGAGGAGAACAGCGCGTATTAAAAACGAAGGTTGTAAACCCTCCAAACTCATCATTTTACTACATCTTACTGTTTTCCTCCTCCCAGGGTATGTCTAGAGTGCAGGGCAACCAGCCCTCCTCCGTGGATGTGTGTTTCAAGATCCCCAGGGAGACCTGAAGTCCAGGAGTGTACTGAGCTCTGTAGTACTGTGCTTTTCCTCATCCACATAGCTATGGCAGGTGAAATGTAATTGATAACTTAGGCAAAGTAAGAGATGATAATAATAATGATATAATGTAATCATTATAACAATATTCTGTCATAAAAGTTATTTGGAACTGCTTAATTATTTATTTCTGGAATTTCCCATTCAATGCTTTTCGACCACATTTGACCAGGAGTAACAAACTGGGGAAGAGAAACCTTGGTGAGGGTGACCACTGTCCTCCTTCCCGGCCCATTCAGGGATGCCAAGGACAGCCCGAAATGGGCACGAGGCGTTTATACCGCAGGTACGGGTGACAGCTTCTCCCCTCCAAGGACAGTGCACAGCTACCTGTGTGACACCATTCTCCTGATGAGAGCAAGGGTGGAATGCATGATTTAGGCCCTGAGGCCCAGCTCCACGGCAGATGAGGGCACAATTCAAGCAGATGGAGGGTGGGGCTGGGTGCGAACCCTCTTGCCTAGCTTTTGGTGGGAGCTTTGAGCCTCAGGGGCAGTATCAGGCCGGCATGGATAAATACACGGAGAGCCTGGGGAACAGGTTGGAGACAGAGAGCCCAGGAAGGCCGCCACCCATGGCTAACCTGCTGGCAGGAGGCAGGTTCTTACTGAGGCCAGTCATCCCTGGGACACTGGCCTGGAAGCTCCCTGCCCACTTCAGGATGTCGCCCAGGCAGGGCCCATGCAGCAAAGTGCTTGGGAGCTGTGAGGCTTAGGAGCAGCAAACAAAAGGGAGCATCCGGGCTGATAACCAGCAGACCACGTCATCTCACAGCCATCTGGAGACAAGCACCATGGTCTCTCCTATGGAGGAGCCTAGCTGAGGGCTTGAACACAGCGGGGTCTAACTAATGTTAATAGCAAAGTTACCAATGCCAATTAACTGATGCGTTTCCTTTAACCTCCACACCACTGTGATCCCCACTTAACAGATAAAGTGAGGGAGGCATCAAGAGGAGATGGAACTTGCCCGGGGTAAGGGAGTGATGAAGCCTGGACTGGAAACCATCAGCTGGCTGCAGTCTCTCTCCATGTCTATTCCATTCCCTTCCTGCTGAGGGAGGGAGGTGGAATGAGAGGCTGCACGGGGCCTTGGGGTGGATAACTGGGGTGAGCAGGGGTATTAAAGTCACAAAAACTTGGGCCAAGGATTTAGCTCAGTGGTTCCACCACCCGCCTCATAAGTACCAGGTCCCAAGTTTGATCCCTGATACCAAAAATAAAAAAAACAGGAGTTAAAGAAAAAGCCACAAAACTTGGCTGGGTTGTTGAATGGCCTCAGGAAAACTGCTCATTCCTCGTCTGGGTGGTTATGCAGCTTGTTTTGTCTTTTTATTTGTTTAGGATGGGGTCTCGCTCTGTAGTCCAGGTGTCCTCGAACTCATGATCCTGCTGCACCGGCCTCCTGAGTACTGGCATTACAGATGTGCGCCACCAGGCTTGGTTGTTACGTAGGATTTTTGTGTTTTTTTTAAGAGGGTTAATACAGGGGCTGGCACAGTACCTGGTGCATGCTGGGGGTTCATACGTGGGGTTCATGGTGCTACCACTGCACACCGGAGAGCCACGTCTAGCCTATCTCTACCATTGCCAGTGTGGGTTCAGGCAAGCAAGCTCTCCAAGACCTCAGTGCCCAAGTCTGGAACAAAAGGGGCCTGGTCTGCGTGATATCTGAGGTCCTTACTAGAATAAATATCCTCCGCCTTTATGAAGAAAACTGCAAAGGAGGTTCTTTGAGTGTCAGAAGAGACTGGCTGCACTGTAAAATCTGTGATTAGCGTTTGAAAAGACACACAAAAATAATAATTATCCAAGTGTGCTGAGAAATCTTGGATTCTTTCATTAAGTTAACAAAATTCCCAAGGAAGTAGTGTTCAGAACCAGAAAACAACCCAACCTCCTCCATGGGGAGGGTGCGTCCCTCCAGAAAGATCCAGCCCAGGAACCAGCAGATTCAGGTCAGCAGCTCAGCCTAGGCCAGGCCAGGCTGGAAGCTGAATCAGTGACCCATTGGTATCACTATTTCTAAGTCAGTCACAGGATGGGTCCTGTGCTCTCAGGAACTGCAGACAAGTGGCTGGCACAGAGAGGCAGCCTGGGGCCTGCTCCCCAAACCAGCTGCTCCCACGACTTCCAGAGCATGGGGAGGCACGGGGCAGGATCTGCAGACACACCAGGCCTCGGCCCATGTACAGCAGATGGCCAAGGAGTTGGGCAATAGTAGAAATTCCAACCAGAAGCTATGTGAGGCTTAAGGGGGAAAAAAATCACGAGAAACACTCAGAATGTGGTGAAAACACCATTGCCTCAGTCTGCCAAGATGGACACCAACTGAAACGTGCGCATTTACACAATACTGGGAGGGGAGCCCCACTTGTTTGTCCCCCCAGCATCTCAAGACAACACCTGGTGCCCCTCCCCCAGTACGGGACACATCATTCTCAAGCGAATAAAAGAAGGAAAGAATGAATGAATTGGCAATTCCTAAGGCACCTTTACCTACACCCCTGGCTTTGCTTCAGGAAATTATTGGGCCTGTTAAATCGTCCCCAGATGCTCTGGGTGAAACACCCAGCTGTGGCTCCTTCTGAGGGAAGTGACATCCACATGACAGCCCCTCCGTGTTCACTTACTCGGTTTGAAAAGCGTCCAGAGTTCACACAGAACACACTGTGAGGTCTTTGCATTCTGCAACCTGCTCATTTTGCAGGAGAAAGAAGTGTGAAAGTTGGGTGGACCGTACCCGCTACTCGGGCGTCTCACGATCTCTCTGCGCTCCAGGCTGCTGCCTCCGGCTCCTGCAAACCCCAAAGCCCGCTTGTGTCTCCATCTTCTCCCCCTTCTCGAGTCCTTATCCCGGGCTGTCCCCTCTCAGCCACCGACTTTCTACCCAGGGGAATCCAGAAGCGCCCCGCGGGCCCCCACACACCGCCTGCCGAGAACTCAAGGGACTGGGCCTGGGGGACAGTGGCACCCGAGCTCCTCCAAACTCAAGGCGGAGGAGGGACGCTGTGGGAGGAGGCGGCGCGGGCGCCCCAGTTGGGCTCAGGTGCGGCGGGGCGTCGCTTACCCGGGCATAAGGCTGGGGGGCACGTAGGCCGCATTGAACTCGGTCAGAAGGGTGCCCGCGCGGCGGGAGGCCATGGCGGGGGACTGGGGGCCCCACCGGCCCG